GATGTCTGGCACTTCATAAAATCAGCAAGAAAACCATGAAGAGATAGATTGTGAAACTCTATGTTCCAGGCATAAGCAGTTTCCAAGAGAGCTTTCCTTCCTGGTCCTTGCCATGGTAAAAGCAGAAACCAGGACTGCCAGGGGTAGTGGCTGGGGGTAGGGAGCAACTTGCTTTGAGAAAGTATTGCTACCCTTTTATTGGCAAAAAGGAAACAGAATGAGAAATCTGATCTCTAAAGATGAATTCTCCATCAGATCAGGGACGTCAGCTTTTGACCTGCCATCCAAAGGAATTACTTGCTGGGGCTGCCTGGGGCTTGGTGTCTCAGAAGCTGGTCTTTTTTCATTGTTGTTGCTTTTAATCATGTCTTTTTCTGGTCTTTTCTCCAGGAGATCTGATTGCTAGCTTTATTATCTTGAATCTTGCCCATGGAACAGCTCTGGGGTTGTCAGATAAATTTTTCCTGCCCCTCATTATGGGACTCTGGGATGGAAGGGAGAATGACTTGGGTCCTATGATAATATTGTGAGTCATTCCGACCATTTCTTAGTAACAACCACTCCATAAAGACATGTCTTTTTTCGTGCAGAACACCAGGACAGCTCAAATGGACTCTCCCTCCATCCCAGCCATGGCCTTTCACTCATCTGAAAGCAACCTCCCCATACCGTTCCTCAAATACTGCAAAATCCTGTAAGAATGAAACTGCCTTAAGTAACAAACATTACACAAATATGCAATAACCCAGATTGTGACAGGGTAAATATTATGTCTGGGAAGACATCCATAGCAAGAACATAATGAAGGAATTTCATTTTTTAAAAGCATTGGGAAGGGGAACTATTTTGAAAGTGGGAGATCAACATAAACAGAAATTCCTCCAAGGAATTAAACCCCATTCTACCAGATGGGAGAACTTTCAGACCTCCTGGGGCTGAGGGTGGGATTCACGATGCAGTTCTGCAGGGGTGTGTGTGACAGGAGGGACAGGTGAGGGGCAGGGGGAGCTTAGGCATTCACTAGAGAAGGACTGCATGTGTGCATACCTGATGGCCTTTGGGAGGTTTGGACCAGCAGTTTGAATGGGATCTATTTTCCTAATTATAGAAACCCGGTCCTGGCTATAATAAAAGCAGGTGTTACCAAAACACACAGGGTGCAAGAAGGATGTCCACCGTGTCTGCTCATTTATTCGCATTCCGCTTAACTACTCGGTGCAGCCCAGTGCGAGGCCAGCCCTCCATGGTCAAGGCAAAGTTCCAAATTCTCAGACGCTCGGCTTTGGGGGGGGGGTGGCCCGTGGATCCCAGAAGGTCCACAAACGAGCCTCAACAGTCCTGGAAACTGAAATGTGCATGAAACTCTGGGCAGAGGGGCACATGCATATTCCCCCCCCCCTTGGGAGAAAAGGATTTTCACAATTATCTATGATGTTCCCCAAAGATTAAAAAATCATATTCTTAGGAATTAGGAGGAAATTTGCACTGGATTCTCTCCCTCCTTCATGATGTGGTTGATGATACGGTCTGGTAGATTTCCTCTTTGGTTCTAAAATGAATTAACTAGAGCCGTTTTCCCTGATTAATGAATTCCTTCCCAACTGATTATGTACTACAACAACGACAGAAGCACTCACAGTTCTCCTTGCTAAAATTTCTTCAGTGTCTCTCAGCGGCAGCCATGAGACGCTTTCTTGTAACTGAAAATACCAGTGATAACCTGCCTCGATTGTTGATGTCAACTGACATAAGCTACTGCTAATTAACTTTGCCCAAGAGAACTTCTTTTGATCCTGAACTTCAACTTTCCAGGGGGTGAGGGACGGTTCTTCAGAACGTGTGGTTAAGTGTGAAAGTCCTGAATGATGATCTGTGTGCTCGGCATCACCTCTCATCCCCGGGGGGGCTGCCCTTTCCTCTTGCCCTGTAAGGACAGAGTCCAGTCCTATGGAGACACTGAATCCAGAGGGAGCAAACCCTAAGGGGAAAGTATCCCCTGCATGAAATTTAAACGGGCCAGGAGAAAAAGGAGGGAGGGGGAAACAGGAAGACAGTTCCGACATGAAACCTTCACCAATATTTTTCAGGGGCCAATGTTGTCAGCAAGGCCCTGAAAGCCGGATGGGCAGGTTTTCCCGGTTGCAGGCTGAACTTGAGGTTATAAGTTGTGATCCTGGAGAGGAGCCAGGGCCCAGACAAATCAGTTTTGTCGACCAGAGAAAAGCCCTTCCATGTTTTCCAAACTCCACGACTGGCAGCAGCAAGAGTAAAGGGAGTTTCTCTCTCTGCCCTTCGTTTAGAACTGAGAACCAAGCCCTTTTGAGAAACCATCGGATCAGTGCTGTTTGACAGAATGCGAACCTGGCATTGAAATGTTTGGATGAGCCAACAGCCAGGACCTTCTCGGCCACGGTGGCGTGTTGATGCCAATGACGTGTTTTCAGGCACATTTTCAGAAACAGAAAATGAAACAGTAAATAGTCTTACGATCGCTTCATAAAACATGATGAAACTTTTAAAGGACAAGATTCAGGGAGGAAGTTTAATTGTCAAAATTAGTGAGAATCCTCTGTTCTCTTCATAATGGGAAGCAAATTGAAAAAAAAATATCTGGCAGGCTTTGCTGTTGACACACTCAAGAGAGTAAAATCGAGTTGTATTTTATGACTGGAGAGAGGTCATGAAACAAAGTCAAACGGGGCCTCCTGACAGCTCATTTTGTTTTGTAGCAGACCAGAAAAACAAAAACAAAAACAAAACAAAAAACCCTACAAACAAACAGAAAAACAACCCACTCAAGACCAACAATACACAGGTAATACACGGGTAACCGGAATCGGGTCAAACATGGAATTAGGGTTCCTGTATTTTGGATTGCTTAGATCACTTCCGGGAAAAGGAACCTATTCAAAACAGATATTGTCCATTTATGGCATTTTCATCAGTTTTCTCGTTCCAGTTATCTGAAGACAGCCTGGCCTTGGTCGTAGCTATTTTACTCTTTGGGTTTTATGCAAACTCTAGGGCATACTGGCACGAATAAGGCAGCCAACTGCAAATAATCCACACCTTGGGGAAACAGTTCACTGTTACCCAAGTAAACACCAGGCACCTCCATTAGTCACCCACTCAAAACAGAAATGGCCAATGAGGGACCAGAGCCCAGCCCTCCATGCCAGAAAAGGAAGCACGCTGCTTTCAAAATCCCAGTCTTTATTATCGCCGACTTACTGCACACTGCCCCAAAGCCCTACAGCTCTTCTCATGGGAAAGCTTCGCAGGCACCATCCCTTCATGGTTCCCAAACTTTTCTAGCCAAAACCTGACACGGGGTCCTTCATCGATGCACACTACGACGATAGGACTTTCCCTGGAAAGGCAACCCAAGGGGCTTCAGCCATCGACCCTAATGGAATAAATCCACAAGAACTGAAAAGATTGTCAGCTAGACTGGTAGGCAGAGACCAAGCAATAGGGGCCTTTGTGTTTTATTGGCTTCTCACCTGCTCTGCCAGCTCCTCATCTGAAGCCTTCAAGATGTTTTCCAAACACACATCTCTGAATCATAATGTGAATTCCATTTACGGAAAGGTGGGGACTTTTAATATAACAAATGAACCCATTTAATGACTTTATGCTTTCATATGTTATAGGATCTCTCCTGCTTTCAATAAGTGGATATAATTTTCTTTGTATTACCCTATTATTAACATAGTTAGTATTATGAACATATATTTTCAATCACATTATAAGTTTTTTTTTTTTAATTTTCTCCACCTAGGATTCTCTTTTGAAAATACTGTGGGCAGCTAAGACAGCAAAAAGGAAGGTCCTTTTTGCAATACACATTTACCCCTTCCCCTCTTTGACTAATCAAACACAGATCTTCTTGTACTTTTGAATGTCTTTATAAAGAGTAATGATTAGTCTTATGTTTCAATGTCCACTGGTTATGCTTTACTTTTTTTTTAATACAAGAGTCATCTGCTGTTTATGTATTTATCATGTCTTTTTTTATTATACTCAAAATACTTTTATTCATTAGCTTATTCAATATATATTATGAAAATGAGATTTTCAAAATTCTCCTTCCTCCTTCCATTAAACTTCTAGTACTTAATGCTATTTATAAAATACGACTTCAGTTCTTACAATACAGAGAAAACACAATATTTGAAAATAACTGGAAACCAGAGGAGACTATGGGCCAAAATTCCTCTCTCTGCTCTAATACTTTAATAACAGGCACAGAAAAATAAAACCACACATGTGAACTGCCCTGACCCAACAGTTCCTTTGGGTAATCTAGTCTCGAACAGATCGGTACTAAAATGTTAACTGGGTCTGACCACTCCCCCAAATAATAAGAAGGCATCCACATTACATGTGACAGAAAGGTCATAAATGTCATCACATTTGCCAAACCAGAATGGTAATGTGTCTTCATATTTATCGTAAAATGGTAAATTTACTTGAAACCACATTTCAATAACCATCTACTGTACTTCTCTTAAAATGATCACAAGTGATCATTTGAAACTCTGTTCCTTGTCATAGATAGCACATGGATTCTAAGTTAAAGGCTTCCATGATATACATTTTTTATAATTATCAAGTAGAGGTTACTAGTTGTATAACCTTAGTTTCCGTGATGTTGAGTTTTATATTTTTACATTTTTGTAAAGATGGGAGGAATTTCCTTGAAATTCACAATTCATGCTTTGCATGTTCCAAATCATGCTTAAACTAATTCATTAATAGAAAGCATCCATGTAAAGGTAGATTCTTAAAAAGATACCACATTTTAAATCAGTAATTTTTTAAAGCTTGAAGCAGCAATATCAACAAGAAAGACTGTGCTTCCAGGGATCCCATCACAGAAACTTCTAGAACATCACAGGCATTTCTAGAACATCACAGACACTTCTAGAAGTTTTGAAATTTGGATTTGTTGCCATGTAAGACCCTGCACTCTCATTTTAGTTTCGACAGATACATACCTCTTCCACTCCGACCGACAAACCTGAGGTCATTGAATCTTGCAACTTGGTTTTTCATGGCTGCGGTGGCATTTCTCAGTTCAGCTGAGTAGTTTTCATCATTGCCCGCCATCACAGTGACTAGAGTGCCATCTGGGACATCCCCCAGAGCCACCACCTAAACACCAACCAAGGGACAGATGCAGACATCAGAAATGTTGTACACTTTTATGCCATTGATGTTAATTGTTCTAAAATTAAAATTAAGTGATCCTTTAAAAAAAGTATTTATTTATTTTAGAGAGAGAGTGCACGCACAAGAGAGCAGGGGGGAGGGGAGAGCGGGAGTGATTCTCAAGCAGATTCTGATCTGAGAGCCAAGCCCATAATGGGGCTTGATCTTATGACCCTGAGATCATGACGTGAACTGAAATCAAGAGTTGGACGCTCAACTGACTGTGTCACCCAGGTGCCCTAGTGATCCTTTTAAGTTTGCAAGGGATAAGCAAGACAACAAGAAAGTTATTAATGGGAAGAACTTCTTTGAACACCATTATGCAGAACTAAATATAAATTTTGGAGTCCTAGAACATTCACCTAATAAAGCCACCTAAGGTCACTCGGTGCAGCTGGGACAAGACAGCAAGGACTTTGAAAACTATGCCTTTTCATGAATGCAATCATCTTAATATCTGAGAAATGCAATGTCTTCTGTTTGTAAGTTTATAACCTGACCCATTGCTCGCTTATCCAGATGTCCACTGACAGGCCTTACAGGGCTCACTTTGCTTTTAGGTGTTTAAACTTATTTCTGCTAAAATTAAATTAAATCTTTACAATTGACTTGCTGATGATTCTTGAATGACTCTTCCTTTGTAGTTCCTCTTTGAGACCCCCACCCCCTACTTGCTTCTCTTATTTTGATTATCAGTAGCTGGGAATTCTGGCATGCAAGGCAAAAAATCAGAAATCTACTCTTTGCTCATTACTAATTGCAAAGTCAACAGACCTCAGAGAAGAGGGGTCTCACTTTCGCGTACTGCTCTGAATTCAGGAGTGGAACTACGTGGCATTTTTATATCTGTGGGTCCCCTAGATGTGTCAACTATGTCCTGATAGATGACTGAGGTTTTCCCCAAGCCCAGATGGATCTTCAAGAATTCCTTTAATGTAACTGAATAGGAATGGATTTCCTAATAGGGCTACTGAAGAAAACTGTTGGATAAATATTTTTGACATTCAGGTCATAAAAAAGCAGTAATTTCAAGGTAAAATGCTCTGAAGAGCATGACAAAGATGGTTTGTGCAGTTGGTTCTAGTTCTTGGCCATCATTTGACTCTTCTGGAAAAGATTTTTTAGGGGCTAGATAATTATTATTAGCTATATTTCCTTTGTTTCTATTTTTTTAAAGTGGTCATAGGATTTCAAATCAAAATGCCCCAACTTTTTCTATTCCTATCATTTCTGATACTCCTCATGGTAATTTCTCAGTAGTGAATTCTGTGTTAATCATTCAGTTATATAATCACTTTCTTCATTCTGTATCTGAGTTGTAAGAGCAATGAATTCGCCAGGGATTATTATTCCTTTTTACCTAAGCATCATGACATACTTGGGTTAACACCTATATTTTCAATTCCCTTTTTCTGCCTGTAAATAAGGCTGCCATAGGCTCCCTTGTACGATAGCAGAGCCATTGTTTCTCGAAATGCCCATCTTCGTTGCCTGCTTGGCCATTACCCCTTCCCCGTGTCATGCAGGTGACCATCTTTTGCTTTTATTTCTTGTGATGCATCAGCTTTCAGTTTCTGAAGAGTATGACAGGGAGGGCAAGGCATCTCATCACAAGGGGCCAGGGGACCAGGAGAACGAGCCCACCCAGCAATAGATAGATATGTTCACCTGTCTTATCCCACTTGCTCTGTGGAGCACAGTCTGGGCTTTTATCTTTCTTCCTAATCCTTTCCATCCCAATGCTGGGCATGTTTTCCATGAAGGAGATTTAAAAACACAGCTATTTATTCCCCAAGCACTCTCTAATTAGATATTTAGTTCCCATTATAAGTGTGTTTGTTGCCTTTTAATTAAGAGCAGTAATACGACGATTCCCTTTTGTTTCGAAAACATCATTGAAATATATCTCCTTGATCAGTTATTTACATATTTTACCTTTTTTCTCCTATTCCCACAAAATGTGCTGGCTCTATTCTGCTTTTTTCAGTCTCTGAATATTTTTTCCACTTTTTTCTCTCTCACTGTTTTCACTTCCTTCTGTAAAATTAGCTCACAGTGTTGAAATGCCCTCCTTGAACACATATTTTTACTTCCTCATCCCCATCTCCCTGTGATGACCTGGCTTCTCTATTTTAATCCGACATTTAGTTATACTTAACAAACGAGGTTTTTAAACTGAATAACTTCTTGTTGGGGAAGAATCTGGGAAGAGGTTAAAATAAGTAAATCTTGTTGTCTATCTTCCAAAATGTATGCTAAATCACCGTCCTCCCACTGGCTCCTCTCACGGTACTCCAGGCCTGTTCTGCTCCTCTCTCATCTTTCCAAAACTATCCTTGTCAGTTTTTGGCAAACTCAGGAGACCTTCACCAAGTAGAAACAAATATAGAGTAAAATGATCATGGTGGCTAAATATGAAAAGGTTGTTGATGTTGGAATTTAAGACTAACAAAATTAGCAGTTTAACCCTTTCTACCCCTACCTTTCTAAAAAAAATGCAGCAAAGATCAAAGATATGTGGGTGCTTGAAGATAATTTTCTTTTGTTTTGTATTTTATTGATCTGAGAGATCTTCTTTCTCTTTTTTGGCAGGAGGATGGGGAGAATATTAAATTACACTAATAACCTATATCGTCTAATTGTTAACAAGCACACTTAGACTAGATTAAAAAATTAAAAAAATTAAAACTAACACGTCTGCTAATTTGGTACAGATTGTCCCACTGATAGACAATAAGAAGAGCATAAAAAAAAAAACTCACTTCAAACAGAAAAAAAAAGAAGGAACTGGAATGAAAAGCTATAAACAATAGGTAAGGAAACACAAACATTTACATTTTAACACAGACCAAACAGACAAGAAGGGACTTGCTGGCCAAAGGATATCTCATATTTCGTTTTACTTCTCTGTTTTTAAAGTATCAGGAAGTTGGGCAAAACATTAGCCCTTCTATGCACTTCATGAGTCTCCCCACACTGGGGTTGGCTAGGCTGTTCACAGTCCAAACTGGCATTTCGAACAACTCTAATTAGGTTGAAATTACAGTTACAATTCATTTATTTCAGATCCCTTAATTTTCCAGAGTTTCAAAGAACGCTGTGGAGTGGAACCCAGAATTCAGCCAAGATGACATTTAATGCATACCTAGGGACTGCAATCTTGCCGACAGAAACACTACTTACTGCTTTCTTACGGAAAGAATATGACTATTAGCATCCAAAACCTCTGAACTTGCTGACGGCATGTTTATGCCTTTGGACCCTGGTGTACCGGGGCCTAAACAAACTGTAAAATTGCAGTATTTAAAAATACATATATATCCTAAGTCATCTACATAGCTCTTTAGGCTGCTTCTGGAAATAGCAGGTAACTCGTAGCAAACTGAAGATTTTCCCAGTAGTAAAATAGCTCTCTTTTGTACTAAAAAAAATTAAAAATAAAAAATAAAGGTGTTCCATGGGAAAAATGAGGGTGGGGTATGTTTTGGGGTCCAGGATAAGCAAACAGGAAGATTTTAATCTATTTGAAGGAAAAATTCATAATTCAAAGTCTCCCTTTAGTTTCTAAGATTCAAACAGGGGATTTACACATAGGATTTCAGAGACTGGGAGAGAATCACTTAAATGCTCTGTTCATCAATATCATCAGACTTTACCACTGTTTCACATTATCTCCTCCTTATTACAGGGAATATAGTCATTCTTTACCGATGAACTTCTTAAAAAGATTGTCTGGGGCTTATTTGAAATCCACATTTTGAAGTCGTAATTTGTACAGAAACTGTCCAGGAGGCGGGTAGATGGCTAAGTGAGGACTGGGGCCAAGGATACGGAAGCAATCAACCTGGACACAGTCACGTCGTGAAGGCTATCTTGCTTTTCTGCCTAACCTTTGGGTTCGTTCCCTCACTGAAAATGCTGTCTGCCCCTTCAGTTGTGCAGGGAGCAGGCTTCCTTCAGGAAGAGGCCTCTCTTGATGGGGACGGAGCGCTGACAGATATTACTCAAGTGGCCTCATTTCTCTGCTGTCCTTCCCTTTCTTCCATATATTCTCAAGATCCACTTGAAATTTTTTCAAGAGAGCTATGCCTTGGTCATTTAGGAGACGATAAACTATTACTCAGTAAAACAAATCTGATTTATTTTATTTTAAAGTCAATTGTCATTTTGAAAAAAGAAATCTCTTTGGTTACTAAGATTTCTACGGAAAGAATCCCCTGATGCCTCATAAAAGCAAGTTATATGATTTTTTACAGTGTTTTAGAAAAAATATATAATGCTTGTCTTGGGGCGGCTTGAGAAACTCCATCACTTCACCTCCTGAAGATTATTAATCACTTAGTGTTTTGATATGTTTGGGCGTTGGTTCCTGGCAGAGGAGGGGACATCCAGAAGAGATCCTGATTTACCCCCAAAGGAAGCCACAGATCTTAGAACCCACTCCATTGATGTGTCAGGGGCCCCCGTTTAAATGACCCGATGGGCGATTATCAGCTTGTCTCCTCCCTCTGCTCTTATCTCAAAGAGGCCCCAGGGCCAAGCCCTGTCTAGTCCCCTGTCACTGAGTGGACTCAGTCCTGTCCTCTAGCTAGAGAGCCTGTTTAGGTAAAGAGATTAGAATTATTTAAAATTGAAATGAGCTCACCACCTAAATCTACAGAGATGAAGGACAACAGGGAAATAGCCCAGTTGGGCTGCTCAACCCACTCCCCATTCCCTTCCCCTCAAAACCTTCTGCTTCCAGAACACTGAGGCACTTCTAGAGACATAGGCAATGACATATTTTCTTTTGTTCTAGGAATTATAATGTAAGTTCGGAAGGTGCATAAAGCTTAAAATTAAAGAACTCCCTCAGTACTTTATAAAAAAGCCAACACTGCCCCTTGTAACTAGATCAAGATCCAGTGAAGGCCTGGAACCATTTAAAAAAAAAAAAGAAAAGAAAAAGCTTATGTTAAATTAATCTCCCCTTAAAGGGCACAATTACCTTCAAACGAAAGAGTAGCTGATCTTTACAGCTCCCCCCACCACCCGCCTTTCTCAGCCCTTTCAAAGAACAGGGAATGACTACAGATTGTACTAACAAGTTGCCCCTTCTGAAACCCCCTCAAGACAGAAAAATAGAATCCCCACCCCCAAAATTAAATTTCTACTTTTTGGCGGGGTGTGTGTGTAGGATGTGGGGAGGCGGTGGTGGTTGTTGTTTTTAAATTCAATTTTACTTTTTCAGTGTTGGTGGTTTTAAAACGCCCAGTTCGGTTTCTACATCCTCCTTGAAGGCCGAGGGTTTTAAAGGCAGCTTGACGCTAGGGCAAGATTAGGGGCTCAAGTGAACCAAGACCCCTTGAGCGGTTCATCTTAAGTTTCGAGATCCCGGCCACCCGCCTCCTCAGACAGAAATGCCCCTGGCGGGTTAGACCCCGGCTCACTGAAGACAGCCTTGCCACCTTTCCAGGCCCCAGGCTTAATCTAGGTGAGCCAGAGATAAGGTTCGGGAGGGTTCCAGGAAAAGAAACAGGATTCGCTACTTGCGGCTTCTGGCAGGAGCAGACTAGAAGCTGCAAAAAAAAACTTCTTCAGAAAACTTTTGCAAAGCTAACTACGCCCTCCGTGGACTTTGGACATGCTAATTTCGATGGGACTGTTAAAGACGGGGTGGGGGTAGGAAGCCTTGACAGTTTTCCTTGTCATTTTATTTTCACTGACCCGAAAGTATAAAAGTAGCTTTATTTCCTGATGCCTCCATCGGAGGGAGGCAGAAAGGCTTGGGTGTCAAGCCAAGGGTCGGGGGAGAAGCAAGGGCGCAGACAGGCTTGCCAGAGCTGGGTTAAAACTTTTTCTACTTTACAGCAAAGCTAAGGACCTCTGTCAGGGAGCTCCCGGGCGGCCCTCAGTGGACCCCTCTGGGGGCATCCAGATTGTTTTCAGTCCTCCCTGGAGGCAGCCCCTGCGGGTTCCACCCCATCCATCCCCGTACACACACACACACACACACACACACACACCGAGGATCGCCACTGCAACCCAGCATCCCCGGTGTCCCGAGAGCGGGAGGATGGACCAGGGGCCGCGGGGGGCAGCGCCGGCCCCTTTCTAGAACCCGGCCCCGCCCGCCTGGCCGCTGCCCTCCCGGATCGCCCCCGGCCTCCGCCGGCCTTCGCCTGTCCTGTCCTCCCGCCACCCGCTCCGGGCCGAGTACCTTAAAAGCGATGGGCAGGGTCTTGTTGCAGCGCCAGTGCGTGGGCAGCACGGAGCAGAGGAAGTTGGGGCTGTCCGTGCGCACCAGCTCGCCGGGGTGGTCGGCCAGCACCTCCACCATGCTGCGGTCGCCACTCCTCAGCTTGCCGGCCAGGGCGGCGCCGGCGTCCGGGGCGCCCAGCGGCAGCGCCTCGCTCATCTTGCCCGGGCTCAGCGCGGTGGAAGGCGGCGTGAAGCGGCGGCTCGTGCTGGCATCTACGGGGATACGCATCACAACAAGCCGATTGAGTTAGGACCCTGCAAACAGCTCCTACCACGCGGCGACAGGGGCGCGGATCTTCGGCAAGCAGCTCCAGGGAGACCAACATACAAGTTCAGGGGCCTTTATTGCTGCGGGGGGAAGGGGACTGGGGGGAGGCGGGAGACCAAGTTACTAACAGTCCAGGAGCGGGGGGAGTTCTGTGATGCCGGTCAGCCTTACACCCGGCAGGGCTCCTACAACTGACAGCTTAAAGCTTTAAAAACTGGGCGACTAGAATCCAAAGTCAAATGCCGAGGGAAACTGTCTTCTGAGTCTTGCTTTTGAGAGTTTAACTTCAGTCTCTGGCTGTTAAAAAGAAAAATGTTCCCGGAGGCAAAACTCCCATACACTTACTAAAATATTTATACGGAGAGCAAAAGGACCAGCAAATACATAATTTGGAAGTTCCAGTAGTAAATCGCCTGTCAGTTTTTTTTTTTTTCCAGGTGAGTTTTGTCTAAAGTCCCAGTACAATACAAAATATACGAGTGTCGTCCGTACACAGAGCCACTTTCATCATGCAAAACTGGCTTCGGTCCTCAAAAGCAAGAGCTGCTACTTCCAAAGGTCATGCTACTAATGTATGTGCACGTATATATAAATATATACATATGCTCTACTTCATAAAATATTTACAATTCAATCTGTAGAGAATTTAAACACAACAGAAATCCATTAATGTTCGCTGCTGATTCTTTTTTTAAGTAGCCTTGAAAATAATCTTCAGTAGTTGAAGAAGGGCTGGGCTACAAATACTTGTCATGTTCTCTTAATAAATTCTGGCAAAACGCTCAGTTCAGAAAATTCAGTTTTTCAAAGAAAAGCTAATCTTAAAGAAAAAAAAAAGTCCAAGTCGATGACACTCAGAGTACAGCTCTCCACATCTGAGAACTCGGGTTTGGGGATGTTGGTTAAGTTTGTGGCTGATCCTGTGGTTGGTGGGAGTTGAGCAGCAGCCGAGTCACACGCACGCAGACACGCACTCTTCCGAAGCCAGCCACTGTCTACATCGACTCGGTGAGTCAGCCCGACTTGGGCAGTAGCGAGATGATCTTCCTCCAACGTCGCCCCAGCGCCAGCCGGTTAAATGCCGGGACGCACCTATACCTACGATCACCGCGGAACCGCAGCAGGTGGAGCGGGCCTTGAGAGGCTCCGCAGCGCTGATCGAAACAGACGGGGTGGCTCGAATTATACACGCAGTCACACTCCCACGCACACTGCCACGCACACGCAACTTCACGGCTTGCCCCGAAGCACAGCACACTTTCTCCTGCAGTTGTCAAAGGAAACAACCGGGGAAAAGTTCACGGGCAGGAAAGAAGTTGAACAGCCAGCCAAGAAACCAATTCATTCAAGAAAGAGAAAGAAAAAAAAAAAAAAAAATCGTAGCTCCAACGCAGGTCATGAAGCAGCAGCAAGGGTTGACTGTCTTCTGGCGTCCCCAGGAGCCCCAGGAAGAGGTGCCTGCCGGCGCAAGGCCGGGCAGCGTGGTGCCCTGGCTGGGTCCGGCCGCGGGGCGCCCGTCCCGCCTGCGCCCGCTGGCTCTATGAATGAGAGTGCCTGGAAATGAACGTGCTTTTACTGTAAGCCCGGCCCGAGGAATTCCATTCCCTCAGCTCGTTTGCATAGGGGCGGCCGCCGGCCAATCACAGGCCTTTCCGGTATCAACCAGGGCGCGGCTCACGGCCGCGGGCTCCTGGAATTGGCCCGCGCGCCCCCGCCGCCGCCGCCGCCGCCGCCGCCGCCGCCGCCGCCGCCGCCGCGCGCTACTGTACGCAGCCCCCGCGGAGAGTGCGAGGCTACCGCGGCCTCCCCGCTCTCCCCGCGCACCCGCATCCACGCACGCACACGCACACACTCACACATTCGCCCGAGGCCCCGCCCTGGTGCGAACCGCGGCCCTGCGTCTTTGCACACATGCACAGTCGCGCGGCCGCCCGCCCGGGGCTGCAGTGCGCAGCGGCGCCACAGGCGGCCGCGGTCTGGAGACCGAGGATGTGGAAAGAGAGGAGGCCGGCTGGCCCACGGAGGGCTTGGGCCGCGCGCCGTGCCCGGAACGGCCCTGGGGCCGGAGACCAGCTGGACGGAGGCGCCCCTTGCTCCCTGGAGATGCAGCGGCCGCCGCGAGGCTCCCGGGACCGGTGCCGGAGCCCCGGGGCGGCCCCAGGCCCTGCGCGGCCACCCACGGCCGAGCCTCTGCTTCCTCTGCGTGGGTGGGATTCGGCCGCGAGGGGGCTGGAGGGCCGAGGGCCGGGCCGCAGAGCGGCTCCGCGCCGCACCAGAGCCGGGTGGGCAGCAGTAGAGAAGTGGCGCTGATTCATTTAGTGAGGCCAGACGGTTCTCGGTCTCCACAACATGGTTTTGTGTTTTTAGTTTTCTCTCTTGGTTTGTTTTCTTTAATTGGTGTTTTTCACCGCGTCTGGGCTGCGGCTTAATTATGCAGCGCTCCCCACTGAGTCTGAGTGTGCTTCGCGGCGAGCAAAGGAGTGTCGGGATCAGAAAAGACCCCAAAGAACAAGCTCCGGGAAAGTTGAAAGCATCCGCTGGGCTGTTTCCCTGTTCTGGGAGCGTCGGCTCCCCCGCAGGCGGCACTGAAAGCCCACCGCTGGGCCCAGGTCGCCGAGCCCTGCACCCACCTCCGGCTCCCCGGAAACTGCTCTGGCTCCTCTCCCCGCCCCCGCGCGCCCGAGCGGCCCGGGGTGCTGAACCCACCCTGGCTTTGCGCGCGGGCGGGAACTTCCCCAGCGTCGGTCCCTGCGGCGCCGGGGGCATTTTCGAGGAGCTTAGAAGGGCCCCACCCCGGCGCGCAAGGCCCGTTCCCCCCTAACTCCCCACCCCCGCCTGCCGAGGGGCTCCCTAGCTCCCCGGGGACCCACTCCGCCCCCAACCCCCGCCGTGGGGTCCTCATGACCCGGGGGAGGGCTCTCACCCCACCCTCAACACGGAGACATCCTCTTCAACTCCCGAGAGTATGGGGGATCCCGTCCCGCGCCCCCCCACGGGGCCCCTCCCGCCCGCCGCCTCCTTCCCCACTGCGAACGCGCGGCTAGGGTGCTGGGGCCGCCGTCGCGCCGAATTCTTCTTGGGCTGGGCGGCTGGGGCCTAACGGATGCGTCCGTCAGGGCGGGCCTGCCGGGGAGGCCCTTCCCGGGCGCCCAGGCTGCTTCCCTTGCCCCAGGACTAGAGAGGCCGCAAGGGCTGCGCGGAGCCGCCGGGAGGCTGGCGGCGGTCGCGTAGGAGGCCCTGCGGGCCGCGGGCCGCGGGCTCGGGGCGGACGCCAGGGGGCAGCAGCCGTCCTCGCTGCCGTCCCGGGCGCCCGGAAACGCCCCCGATGGCGCGGGACTCTGCCGCCCTCCCCCTGGCCTTTGGGTCGCTCTTGTAGCAACACCAGTTTGAGGAGAAACGACTGGAATCGGCCGCTTCCCGCCCCTACTATCCCGGGCGGCGGAGCTGGTGGCGCAGGAAGCCTTCCGCGGGGGTCTGCGCTGTCCTGACCCGCCCGCATCAGAGTCTTTTTCCGAAACCCCTATGCACGCACTGCGCGGTCGGCCAGCTCGCCACCATGGGTGCTCCTGGCGTCCGCGGCACCGTCCCCCAGCCCGAGGCCTCGGCTCCCTCCTGCCCTTCCGAGCTTCTCCCCAGGTGGGCCGTCCCCTCGCTCCTCTGCCGGACACCCGGGACACTCCCGAGAACAACCAGCAACTTGCTGCATTTTGTTTTCATGGGTCTGGGGTCTCCGAAAACTGCTTTTTATTTTTTCCTTAAAAATGATTTTGAAGAAGCCGCATTTCAGGAGTAAAGACCCACAAAAGTCCCTTCTCCACCTTGGCGCAGCGATTCCAACTATTGCGCAGTGGCCAAGCCTCCGTGTCTGTCGGCCCCCGGCAGGGCTCGGACGCTGCCGGTCCTAGGGACGAGTTGGGGCGACTTAAACCCCTTTACGGCGGCTCAGATACATCGCTGTAAGAGCGCACCGAGCGCTCCTGGGGTCCGCCTCCACAGTACATCCCCAGGGACCTCCGCGGACCTAGAGGGTGCACAAAAATTCGACAGAGGCGAAAACGGGCTCTGATTTGGGGGATATAGCGGACTGGGGTAATTCGCCCTGCGGAAAGGTCAGAGAAGAAGGGTCCTGTGGGGCTTGGGCGGTTTGAAACCCTAAACCCTGCGAGGGGCTGCGGGTCGGACTCTCTGCGGCGATCTCCCTGGCGGGGTCAAGTTCCTTCCCCTAAAAGAGGTACAGGGATAGATGAAATCAAGTTTAGCCCTTCAAGCGCAGCACCGTGGGCGCTGCTCAGCCGAGTATCAACCAATAAATGTCGAGTTTGAACATCGACAAGGATGATAAGAGAGGAAAATCTTTTACTGATTTATTCTAAATCCGGCCGCCGCGCATTTAAGGTTCCTGGGACCTGCGCTGGCTCTAAGTGCGCCGTGCGGTGCACACTTAAAAACAAGATACAAACAAAATGCAGCAATCTTCCTTGTCGAGGAACTAAAATGAATGGAAAGCAGGCAGCGTGAGGCTCAGCTAAGGCGTACCTGGAGTCCCTTAGTCTGAAAGACTTTTTACAGACCTTACAAAGTTCATCATCGCATACGAAATGAAAAGTTCCTTCCCATCAGAAGAGTCCATTTTAGCGGCAATATAGAATTTCCCTTCCTCTGCCTCTCCAAGAAAGGAAAGGAAACACTACCACATTCACTCCTGGAATAATAGTAAAATTTACTCTTGTCATAATAGAAAAAAAAAAAAAAAAAGAGCAACAACGAAGCGATGTGTTGGGCGGATGCTATAAGATGGATTTTTCCAAATTTGCTGCGTGGGGGAAACTCCAATATTTCTCATAACAGGAATGAAATGTAAGTTTTCACAGGGAAATTTTAAAGTACTATTTGGTTAGTTGGAAGAAAAATATCAATTTCATTGGGAAAAATAACAGCTCCTTGACGTTCTTCTTCAACTTAAGGTAAATATAAAACAAAGTGGTCTCAGAAAATACCTAAATATTTTACACTTTTGCTGTTTTAAAACCCTCTCAAAAATAAAATATGCCTAAAAATAAGATTAGAATCTCAACCATTCTCTTAAATCAAAATTCTCCTCTGTGAGTAACATATTTCTAAGATTACATTTCTAAAAATGCCATATTTCTAGAAGAAAATTTTTTCTATCTCAGTGGACCATTTCAATGAAATAAAAACCAGAGAATGTATTTGGCTAGTGTTTCTGGACCAAACTGGTGCGGTTGATATAATGCCACAAGGATGGAGAATATTTTTGTGAAGAGAGTAACGTGTTAACGTCTGTGCAAATAACCTGCTATACACAGGGTTCCGTTTTCAACATTAGAATTTAAACATCCTTCTCCCCCCCACCCTCTGACGTGGCTTTGAGATTATTTTACTTTTGGAATCTAATTACTTTGGGGACAGGATTCTTTCGTTCTGTCACCATATCCTTCCTCCATATGAATGTTTTCATGGGATGTGGTGCTTCATGTGTGAACTGTTCACCATAATCCTGCAGCTCCCAAGTAGCAAACTGAGAAATTTTTAAAATTAATTTTCTTTCAAATTTAGGATGCTTAGTAAACATTTTACCCTCATAAAAGTTTTGCATTGCCACTGCAGTAACAAAAGTAATAAACTAGGTTATAACAGATGGAAGCCAAGCTCTATTTTTTTTTTTTTTTCAGAGAGTCATGTAGAGTCATTTAATAACAGCAGAATACACCTATGGTACACTACTCTGCGGTACTGAGGGTATCATTTAAAGTTTCATTGGAATGTTTTATATGGTTTGATATTTAAAATATGAAGAACAGCTTTTAAGTATTTTTGAATCAGCAAAAAAAAAAGAGCCTCAATTATTTGGCTAATTTATGTCATAAGTTATTTATAGATTTACACAGATAAAAATCATCTATATGCACATAAGAATGTGCATATTTTATTTAAAATATAATTTGGAATCCAACATACCGTGAACATCTCTAGATGGATTCATTCCGTGTACACATTCTGAAAGAACAGAAAGTAGGAAAATAAAAATAATTGTATAAATATACTGACGGCAAACACCAAATTTATTGATAGTTGATGAATTTTATTCTAATAGTAATACACGCAAGTATGAAAACTAAATTTCTGCATTTATTTTTAATTTTAATTTTAATTTTAATTTTTTGTTGTTGGCCGATTGCCCCTCACACTTTTTAGCACTGGAGATTTTTATAGTATATTGTCAGCTTTGGCACAGGAATAGCTTAAAACAGTAAACCAGCAAATAACAAATGAACTGTTACATTTGCACATGGTTATAGGGGACTTTAACAAATATTTTCCACTGCTAGCTAGGCTGAATCCTTATCTTTCATATAATCACCTTTTTAAAGCCTTGTATTTGATGCTAATGTGATATGAATATCAGAAATACATTTGGAGAATGTAAAAGTGAATCAGAATTCAAGGTGAAATTAAAACCAAACCCTAACTTAATGCCAAAATACTTGAAAATTGGTATTAGAGCAGAACTGAACTGCAAGAAGTAAAAACAAGTTTTTTAAAGCCATGAGAACAAATAATTTTGAGTACATCTTTTGAAAGAAAAAACCCGATAGGTAAACATTATCTTAACTTACTTCCAATAAGACAGTTTAGAAATATTTCCTCCTTGTTTGCTTACTCTCCTTCCCTATGCTAAGGAGGCAGATTATTTATACTGAAACCTCTCATTCTTGAAATAACAATAACATTCTTGAAATAATGATGTCAGTTGTTACTGAAAATAACCATCATATGATAATGGTCATATATTAATTACTTACTATATGCTGCTGCATATACAGTTATAGGTAAACCCATTAAGCAAAGTCATCTGAAGCTACTTCTCTTTCCTTTGCATATCTACATGAATTGTTCTGATCTTGAAATTACTGGGTCAGCCTTCTATATGATAGTGCTCAGCACTGAATGATTAACATGGAAGATATACCATTTTCAAAGCCTTAGGATTTGAGCATTTCAAAAATTGCAGACCTAAAGCTTTCAACTTTACTCCACAATATTAATATATCTTAAATTTTTTTTTTCAAACAAAGGTAATTATTTCAGATTTCCAGACGCTGTTTAAATAGGCAGGAGAACAAGATTTACAGCTCCTCAGTCTTATATTTTTTGCCAAAGCAAAAAGAGCAACTAGAATAATAAGGGGTTCTGCAAGACTGCCCTATGATGAAAGATTCAAGCAATTAAATACGTACTGTCTCCAAGGAGCATCCTTAAAACAAAACAAAACAAAACACCAAGATTGTGGTTTGCATATACATAAAATAACTCCATACAGATTTAAAAAAATAGAGCAGGGGAAAATCATTTGCACTAATTATGAATGATAAGGTAAGAAATATCAAATGTACCCTGAAGTTAGTAAGTTCACTTTTAATAAGCATGGGGAGGAATCCACAACAGTAATACCAACCAGGCAGCCAAATTCATATTAAAGAGACCCAGTAGAATGACTCTAGAAACCACCCTGGAAAGTCTTTCATGAGACCCTCAGAAGCCTTTCCATGTCAGAGGCTGAGACACAGAAGGAGCAAAGTAGAAAAGCAAATGTTTTGTTTACACACCTAATATTTCACTGGTTCTGAGAGAAAAACCCACTTTTTTTTTTAACCTAAAAACAAGGGCAAAAGTGAGCGAAGTTTAAAAGGGGTGTGTGTTGTCTGTTGGAAGTGGCCCTACTTTGTCCTGTGTCGGTAGGCTTGAGGCCACCTGAGGCCACACCATGAAGCTGGGGAGGGGCAGGGGAGGTCTGCAGGTGAGGTGGCACCTGTGCAGGTTGGCGGTCATTTGCCCAAAGAGTTTTTAAAGATGCTAGAACCTAAACTGTAAGAGAGGAGACGTCTTGGGTGTTTATGGCTGCAAGACTTCAATTTGGCTCCCCTACCCTCCAGCTCTCTCCCATGGATCCACGCCTTTCTTTCTTTCTCCCTTCCTCTCACTGAATGCTACTAAGTGCCAGGTACTGGCCAAAATGCTTTTATATAACTTCCTGCAACAACACCATGAATCCTTACCACAACACCATTACCATCTCCATTTTACCGACGAGGAACCTCGTACTCCGAAGGTTTAGGAGTCACTGTATTCTGCTCATGTGTGCATGTGCACACACACGGATGTTCACATACGGGTCTGAGTGCGTGATGAGCTGTGTTTCTTTCTGGCCACAGCTCTGTATTTTCATGGGTATCCTTGGTAGAGCTCTGACAAATTAAGCTCTAATCTCATCTGTCAGTTTGATCCTCCCCTGTTTCATCATCTCCATTAGACACTATCCCTGAAATTCTTTACACTGCAAATCTCAAATGTCTAGGAGTCACAGTCTGAAGTTATTTCTGGCCATCCACAGAGTTTGAGGAGCAAGTTAAGGTCCGTTTAGCTTTTAAATTCTTTTTTTTAAAGGTTTTTTAAAAATTTATTTGACAGAGATCACAAGTAGGCAGAGGCAGGCAGAGAGAGAGGGGGAAGCAGGCTCCCAGCTGAGCAGAGAACCCCATGCGGGGCTCGATCCCAGGACCCTGGGATCATGACCTGAGCCAAAGGCAAAGGCTTAACCCACTGAGCCCCCCAGGCATCCCTAGCTTTTAAATTCTTAATAAATATTAAATAATTCCCTCGTCCTTTCCTGCCTCCACTCCTTCAAAATGACATCTTTGGGACTTTCCCAGATATGAAGCACCTGATCGCCTTCCCTCAGCAGTTCTCTAAAGTTTTCTATGTGCCAGGCAGAGTGCTAGGCTAGTTGGTAACAAAGGACAGAGGAGAAGAATGGAGTGTGATTGTGTTACTGAGTGTCCATGGACTGTCAGGGCTCCAGGAAGATGGTGGGAGGAGATACAGGAAAAAGAAAAGATCATACCACCTGGTGGGCTTGGGAAGGCCTCCCTTCATAGTAAAGGTGATACTTAATGTGACTCCTGGAGGCTAGGTAGGCTTTTATCATGTGGTTGGCAGGGCTGGAGGAAGGGTTTGGGGAGGTGGGAGGGGATCGGGGAGAAGGTGCTCCTGGTGGAAGGGTCAGCAGGAAAGGATGTGAATTTGTGAAATAGAGCCGCATGTTAGTGTTAGTATAGTTAGTCGGAGTGTGAGCCTGGGATCAGTGTGCTCACCATGATACAGGTCACAGGCAGCTTACAAACCTGAAGAAATTTGCACTTCAGTGTGAGGGCAATGGCTTCTATGAAAGCCTTGAAATCTGGAGAACAACATGACTGATACATGTTAGAGGGAAGTAAATCTGTCAGAGGTGGATAGGTGAGTGGGAGGGGATAGAGATGAGGAGGAGGGAGCTACTGTGGTTGTCACACAAGGAATTGTGAACATCTGTGTTCAGGTGGGAACAATGGAGATGGAAGAGGGGGCGGTAGTGGGAGAAGAGAGTTTTCCCCACTTCTGGCCCAGGTGCCATGACCAGCAGTAGAGAAGACCAGAAGAGGAGGGGTGTGGAGGTAGACACGAGAATCTGGCTTTGGATGAATAGAATGGAGCTGTGGGTACTGGTGGGGAAAATGGCCGGGAATTGAGGACAGAGGTCCTCACAGATCTACAGTGGCTTCACACTGTACAGAGACTGTGTCTGGGGAGAGAGAGCATTGACAGAGTCCAAGACCATCAACATCTAAGGAGTTGATTAGAAAAAGGTGGAACCACCAAGGAGACTGAGCTAGGAGGAGAAAGAGGAGAGAATAGAGTCTTTATTTATTTATTTATTTATTTGACAGAGAAAGAGAGAGAGATCACAAGTAGGCAGAGAAGCAGGTAGAGGGGGAGGGGGAAGCAGGCCCTCTGCTGAGCAGAGAGCCTGATGCCGGGCTTGATCCCAGGACTCTGGGATCATGACCTGAGCAGAAAGCAGAGGTTTAACCCACTGAGTCTCCCCCCACCCTCCCCCCACCGCCCCCGGCTCTGGCGCCGAGAGAATAGAGTCCTTAAAACAAAAGAACATGGGAATTTTGAGAGGAAAGGCGTGTCTCAAAGGCCAAGGCCAAGGAGGGGCCATGGAGATGACGACTGAAACAATTACATTGGATTTGTCTCTAGGGGAGGCATGGTGACCTTTGCTAGAAGACATTCAGTGGAGCAGAGAACGAGGGGCAGCGAATGGATGTAGGGAGGGGGAGGTAGGTGCTTTGTGGAGGAGGGAGGAGAAAGGCAGAATGGCCAAGAGAGGGAAAGCCCAAACATGAGATGTGTGTGTGTGTGTTTGTGTGTGTGTTGAAGATGGAAGACACGTGAGGAAATTAACATTTGCTGTGTGCATTTTACCGAAGGTCATACTCATCAGGTCCCACCCCAACTAGCTTTTCTTGCTTTGCTCGTGGCATCCTCCTCCTCCTGGTTTCCAAGTTGGATCCATGGATTTATCTTTGAGCTCATCCAATCTGCTGCTGAGTCCTGTTTTTGGTTACTTTGCTATAATTTATCCCCCTTTTCTGTCCCTATTGCCATCCTTCTGGTTCAGGTTCTTATGGCCTTTCACCAGGTCTCCCTGCAAAGGTCTGCAAAAGTCTCCCACAAGAGAGCCTATATTAATTTCATATAGTACTTCCAGATTGATCTGCCATACCACTGCTCTGCAAACTCCATCACAGAATGCACCCCAACTTCAGAGCCAGCTCTTCTGTACAGTCCTACAGGATTAAGGGCTACCTTCCATCACCATCTTGAAGGTGATGTCTGTGCCTCAGATGAAATTTTCTCTCAAGGACTAAATATATGCTTCCTCATGTTCTCCATGACCTCTGAATGACCACTGAACTGTATTTTACTTTGTGTTATAGCTATTTGAATACATTGAGGAGTGGGGTGGGTAAGAGGGAAGTGTTGATTTCAGGTTTCTTTTCTTTTCTTTTTTTTTTTTTAAGAATTTTTTTTTAAAGATTTTATTTATTTATCTGAGAGAGAGGCAGTGAGAGAGAGCATGAGGGAGAAGGTCAGAGGGAGAAGCAGACACC